ATTGTCAGACAGTCTAGTTACACTCTTTCGTAGCCAACTCATGTCATCTACTCAGACCCACCTTTGAGTATCTTGTCACACCTAGCCGTCTGCTATACCTCGCCCCTGTGTCGTATCCCCTATACCCCTACTTGAGCATTGTGACTGGAGACCTGACCCTTACCGGTTAGTCGAAAGGAGCAGCGCTGACAACAAGCCGGCACCATAGGTTCCTCAGACGACGAATACCAGGCAGCAAAGGTGCGCAGAGTGCGGATTCAGGCTATTGAGAAACTCGACAAAGACCTACTTGTCGCAAAGAAGAACAATTTGATCGGTTCCTCCGACGAGGGTTATCAGAAAGCGGAGCGCCGAAGGCGGACACGATGCAAGCATAAGAATCGGAGGTGGCGAGCCGATCGAGACCGCATTGTCGCAAAAGAGAATGGCTTGATCCGATCGTCTGATGAAGATTATCAGAAGGCGAAAGAGCGGCACAAGAGGACAAGAGAAAATCTCAGGGTAGCGGATAGGAAAAGAGCCGCACGCGAGGTAGAAATCCTGAGGCAACCTGATCACCCAGATTACGACAAAATTGTCGCAAAACGCAAGGCTCATAGCGAAAACGCCGTCAAATACACCAGAGTTATGCTTGATGCTGAAACAGAAGTCCTTGCAGATCCCGCTCACCCAGATTACGACAAAGCTGTCTCGGCGCGCGGGAAGAGGTATGCAAGGACAACTGCTCGGAGAAGAGAAGTGCGCAAACACGATGTAGAAGTCCTTGCAGATCCCGATCACCCAGATTACGACAAAACCGTCGCAAAGCGCAAGGCTACGAGCGAGCTGAGGGCTGAGGGCGCACAACGACTGAAGAAACGCGAAGCAGCAATACTTGATGATTCCGATCATTCCGACTACGACACAATCCTCGCGCGGAAGGAGCGCAGGCGTGAGTCGGTTCGAAAGTATTCAAAAAAAGTCCGCGCACACGAAGCAGAAGTCCTTGCGGATCCCAGCCATCCAGAGTACGAGGAGATCCTTGCAAAACGCGAATCTAAACTGGCAAAAGAAAGGGAACGAGGCGCCAAGAACCGGAGCAAGAAGCCGAAAAGAAAGACTCGTGCCAAAGGAAGTCCTGGTGAGGCCACTCTAGAAGACATGGATGTCTCAATGAAGGAAAATCAGCTGCCACAGAAGAGTCTGAAAGACGTGATACCAGATTCCGAATGTTCGGAATATGAGGACTGAGAGCAGGAGCCAGATTACGGACATACGCTTAGTTTAGCAGTCAGGTGTCGGATTAGAGACATACACAACACATAGGAGGGTTAGCTTAGCTGTCATAAACTCGAGTTAGTCAAATTGCAGAAGTACGGAGTACACATCATCGAATGCTTCGTTCCTGAACTGTCCCTCTGGGGCGATCTTTTCCAGGAGGGAAGTCCTCCAAAGGAATTACCCATTGGCCGCCACATGGTTCCTGAACACGCCTTCACAAGAACAACATCGAGCTCTCACGGCGCCTGGCTTTAGTGGTTGCCGCATTCTCAGGAGCCAACATGTTGTTCGACCCGCCGTATTGAGTAGTCCCTCCTTGCTGTTGCGGAGGTTGCGGAGGCTGCGGAGGTGGGTATCTCGGCGCTGCCATGGGCATCTCATGCGGGATCGAGACATACTGTCTGGATTCGTACGATGACTGAATGGGCGCGAAGCCGAGATCCGTGGCAGGATCAAGCCGGTAATCGGACGGCCTCCCGGGCGCTTTGGAACTGGGCACGAGCCTCGCGTTCTGAGCAAAGCTGTCTTGATTATACATCGGCGTCGGTAGGTCACTAAACATCTGTCGACGGGGAGATCGAATATCTTCGGGGGTAAGAGTACCTTCCTCACGCTCAACTTCGATCGATCGAACCGAGTCCCGCTCGACAGGCTTATCGAAGATTGCGTCGAAATCCGTCAGGAACATGGCAAATAGCGGTGCTGGAATGTTCAGGGTCGGTGAGAACACAATGCCCACATTCTTGATCGTCATTTTATTGCGTTCGGCATTTTGAACGACCTCGAGCAGATATTGTGACAGGGTTCGCAAGAGGGAGAAATTTGCCGACGGCAATCGGTGCACCAAAGTATTGAATGTGGAAATCTTTTGGGACTTGTCTGGCAATTCCAGGCCCTTGAGAAACTCAAGATGCAACTCCCGCGTGAGGATGGTTGAGGGCAGTTCTCGGAGATAAGTCTTAAGCAGGGAGGCAACGGCGTTGATATCGTAATCTTCGTCCTCGGTCAGCAGATCGACATCACCTTCCATGTTGAAGCGATCCTTCAGGAGGCGGATGACGATGTTTGATCCGCTCAGTCGGAACAGGCCTTCCTCGTTTGTAGCATTCTTGGCCCGGAGATATTCGATGCAGCGATACACCACGGCAGGAAGGTAGACGTCAACCTCTACCGGTGAGTAGTACTCGACCGCCTCTTGTAATTGCATCCCAAATACTGGCCGAACATGTCCGCCCCGATGAGCATTGAGCTCGGTACGCTTTGGCTGAGCTGGCTGAACAGGGGCCAGTTGTTCGTAGGAAGGTCTTCGGAAGTGGAAGAGATTGCGCTTCTTTTGCTCTCGCTCTTTGCTATTCCCGCTCCCCGTGGACTTGTTGCCCCAGCTCCCAGCGTCTGAGATCACCGAGCCATTCATCGGACCTGAGATATTGAAAGGCTTGGAGGCCGGTACGGGCTCTGGAACAAGCTCTGGAGTGTGGCTGGATGCGTTGGACGGAGACGGTGTGTCCATGTGCGTCTGTGGGCTGCCGTTGGATCGCGACTCTCCATCCTCATATCCGAGCTTTGGAGCGTTCCTGGCCTCTTTCGTCTGTGATGACTGGATGCCAGCCCCATATTGAGATTTAGGATCGACCGGCTTCTCATCAATGTAGTGCAGCAACGTTTCTACCCACTCATCCCGCTCTGCATCGCTCTCGGCACAAAGCACGTGGCGAACATGGCTGTTCAGGTCTTTGCGCTTGGGCTCAAGGATGAGAAAGGCGTGACGAAACTGGTTCTCGGATTCGACCTCTGCTTGCACTGCCGGGTCAGATTGCGTCTGCCGGCCGATGCGGGCATGGAGCAGCTTGATGGTTCCGAGGTGCGCACCGCCAGGGGCCTCGAAATATCGCAATTCTGGACTGTCTAGCACGAAGTATCGCGACTTCCATCCTCCAAAATTCTTGCCCTTTTTGGTCAGGTAGCCCGATTTGGTGGGGGTGCCTGTGTGGGATTCTTGACTTGGTTTCGGCTGGGCGTCTTCGCGATTCTGTGAAGGCACAGTAGATTGCGGCTCTATGACCTCTGTTGACAGAAAGCGGCAAATGATTGCGGCCGCTTTCTCGTCCATGGGAGTGTCGAGGAGATCGTCGAAATAGGCATTGATCGAACTTCTTCGCGCGTCAACCATTGCTGGCGCGTGGCCCACGAAGAGTTTGCGGTCGGGCAGTTTTGGAAGATCCGCGCACCGGGGCCTCAGTTGCTGTTCGAGATTTGCAAGCGAGCCCGGATATTTTTCAACCCGCCAGAGTTCGGATGAGGTTGCACGTTCGAAGACTGACAGGCTGAATGATGCATTCTCTTCCTGTGTCCTCAGTCCAAGCATGCTATTTCTGGATGGTCGTAGGCGGGAAGAAGCTACCTTGACCTGGATCGAGGGTAGGGCATTTGGAGGTAACAAGAGGTCCGGCCAGCTAGGGTCGGCAAGTCTGCGGCTGACTGCTGGCGCCTCTCCGGGGCTCAAAGGCGACTCGTGAAGCTGGCCGCGATCCGGCTCGGCGTTTGCAGTGGTGTTCATCTTAGATAGTGTTGAAGGACCGAGCTTCTTCTGTGGATCGGAAGCACCTGCTTGTGACTGGTGCTGTGGAGCGGGTGCCTGGGTCCCAGGAGTTGTTGGCATCGGAAGAGGCATCTTCGGTGCCCGGGGAGAAAGAGGGAAATTGCCACCAGGTAGACGTGGAGACATAGGTAGTGCAGATCCCATCAACGGCCGAGGGCTCATGGGGAGACCGGGGCTTCGCAGAGGAAGTGAAGATTGAGTGGATGAAGCCACAGAACCTGATGTGACGGATGATGGCGAGAGGTGACCTTGACGCGGAGGTAAAGTCTGGGTGACTTCGGCAGCAACAGGTGGGAGAGGCAGCTGCTCAAGTGTGGTCACGTCTGCTTCCTCTGCCTTTGTCTTTTTGTCTCTCTTCGACCGACTTCTTGCCTCTTGCTCCTTCAGGGCGAGCAGCTCACGGTCGCGGTCATCTTCTTCTCGAGTCTTACGTCGACCTCGCTGAATAGGCACCCTGTCCTCATCTTCGTCCCCACTGACTAACACCTCGGCTGGTACTACAATCTGATGATCGGGTACCTCATCCTTCGCTGGACGAAGATCCAGTGGTCTCGGCGGTGCCTTTCTGGAAGCCTGGAACGACTTGGAAGGCTTCTCCGAAAGCGGAGTAGCTTCGGTAATCGCAAAGCTGGGTTGAGCAAGATGTGTTGCGAGGCTCTGTGTCTTTGGCGCCTGTTGTTGCAAGTGGAGGGGTGATGGTAGCATGGCAGGGTCGAGAGGCGAGCTCTGCACATTGACTTCGGTCTCGGCGGTCTTGCTGGGTGTCTGCGCGTCTTGCCTCAGCTTCAGATCTGACTCTGCCACAGGCGTCGGTTCCTGGAATGTACCCGAAGGCTCGCCATCAGATTGAGGTGAGTATCCTTCTTCCGTCCGCAGGCGGTCGACTTGTGCAGCTGAAGGTTGAGCCTGGAATTCTTTCACTTTCTTCCTGTACCGATCTCTTTCCTTGGTCAGCCGCTCCAAGTCCTTGTTCAGGCCTATCAAGAGTGCCCGCTGCTTGTCCACGAGTTTCCACAACTGCGCATTCTGAGCAGCCGCATGATTCTTGTCCCTCAGCAGGTGCTGTATCAGATTCTCTGCCGAACCAGCCGTAGCAATGAGGTTGAGGACCTCCTCTCGCGTCGGTTCTTTGCCCTCGCCAGCACTTCTTCCAAGGTGCGAGGGATTCGAGATGCTGGAGATGGCGGAATCAATCGAAGATGTCCGCGGCATGTTGTTGGGTGGGTGCGCGCTGGTATTGAAAGTCAGGGAGCCGTAGGACTTCGGCGATTCTGATAGCGAATAGAGTCCCTGATCCTCTTGACTTTGCGAGTGGGATATGATGTTTGTGTCTCTGTGGCCCGGCGCGGCGTCTGCTTCAGCTCGTGCACCACCACTGTTGTTGCTCTCCTGGCGCGTCGACAAAGTCCTGTCCTCTGCTGTACTTCCGGCCGCCCTCTTCCCAGACTCATTAGTTGATGCTGGTATCTGCCCGACTAGATTATTTTCTTCTGAAACCTTAGGCGGTGGGCCCGAAGTCGACCGTGAGCTGGACAGCGTGCTCAGATAGTCTCGAGGAATTAGGCCAGCCTGTAGGACCGAGGGGCCCTGCTGCTTGCGAGAGGCTAGAATGTAGGGATGAGGACCGGCCAGCGGTGAAGTCGAAACAGCGGCGGCTGTTTGGGCCAGGCGATCCTGGGGAGACAGAGGGGGAATTGTGTCGCTGGTCAGTTGGGACATTTCGGGCAACTCGATCAGGCTGCATCTGGAATCGGCGTGTTTAACTCAGAGCCATTATTGGTACAGCAACAGGGGAGAAACACTTGGAGCCCGCTGACAGGCCAGCTGCGCGAAGAGGCGTGAAGGGGAGTTGACAGCGCCGCCAGAAAGTCACAGCTCCAACGCAGAAGGCTCGATTCGCTCGTGCTCCGACCAGCAGGACGAGTAGGAGGTGCAGGTCCTGGTGTGGCAGTTAAGCGCCGCGAAGACGTCGATATGCAGGTGATTGGTGTCAAGGATGGTGCTTCGAGGGTGCTATGAGGGAGGGTGTGGATGTCAAGGTACCGGGTCGAAGGCCAGTGCGAGCTTGCAACTGGCTCCCACTCGTTTGGCAAGTCCTTCAGAAAGACGCAATCAGCCTCCACAAGCCTCCGCTAACGAACCTAAGCCTAAGCCTACGAGTTTGTATGTACGAAGGTCTCGCCGTCGTCCTCGAAACGTGTCCGAAGCAATATGGTGTTGATCTTCTTGAGCCTTGACAATTTGTCAGTGCGCCTCGGCTCTGATCCTCGCACGAGCCAGCATCTGATCTTCCATCTGCAAGGAGACCGGACCGTCTCATCTGGCAGAGGCGCGCCCCGTCAAATTGTCAAACATTTGCGGCGGCGGATGAAACAGACGTGCTCGGCTCACAGACACCTCCTCGCTGCTAATGGGGTTAGAGCCACGCCTAACAGCCGCCTAGAGCTGCAGCTTGAGGCCGACGGGGCCGCCACCCCAGGTTGCGTTTGGCTATCGAGCTCTTCCTTCCAACGCCGATAAGATTCTGGACCCTGAAAATCCGACAAGCGAAGCGAAGGTTACGAGGAGTTGATGCAGACTGCAGAGCTACGAAAGTGCCTCCTTTCCCCTGCCTGACAGATTCGACAGAATACAGTACCTCGTACGAGGAGGACTTGTAAAGCCACTTGCAGAGCAATGCCCACGTCACATCCACATCGACGACTGGGGCTTACACGTCCTATGATGCGCTTTGCCTGGCCTCTCCGAGGAACCCCTCCATCAGGTCGACGCGACGTTTCAGCTGCAGGAACACATCGATGAGCCGAGTCCTTCCGTATGATTGGCCTCATCCAGTCCCGGCCTCGATCCAATCACCTTTGTCTCTGCGGCTTCAATGCCCATCACGAACACCCTTTCAACTGAGCAGATCTGCTCGTGGCCATTCAGCTGTCTGGAAACAACGTCTTGCAGAATCTTCAGGACTGCTACTTGGCTTCCGCTGACTATCATCCAGAATGAGGGTGTTCTCGCACGAGCTGTCACCCCATAGCCAAGGATCCCAGAATCCCTCTCTGGACCTCACGCCTGCCAGCAAGCGGCGAAGGCAGGGTTTTTCTGTTCGTCATCAACAGCGACCATTCGGAGGGTTCTCGGAAAGCGTGGGTTCATCTTAGTAGGCCGGAGCATGATCCGGCGTCGAGATCAAGAGACCTCGGACTTAGACAGACAGCCCGACGCCGAGTTGTCCTGATCCCTCTTCCCCGGTAATATGGCTCTTGCACTCCAGCTACGATTTTTAGCCCTTCTCCAAGGTCAAACGCGCACACGTCGAACACGTCATCAGGGCCGTTTTCGTTTATTTGGCGTTTCGGCTGTCGATTCTCGACTGGAGCTGGCAGAAGTCCCCGCGGAAGCGAACTCGATGGTTCTCTTTCCGGTCGCTGAGAGGGTCTTCTTAGCCGCCTGTTCTTGTTCTCTCAGATCCTGTTGACTGCGTAGAAGTTCTCCCTTGTACGCAGCAGCGGGAAATCCCCCGGGATTGAAGACATCCACAGGCAGCGAAGTTTTGTACTGATCACGGTCTTCTAGGCCTGCCCGTGTGATCATGGTAGCCAGGATGCCTGGATTTCTGAAGGTTGACTTATTTGCCAGGTCTTCATTGAAGTGAACTCCTTTCGCCTTCAGTTCCAGGAATCGTCTGAATTTTGCATTGAGTGCTGGATCAGGGGAACCGGGAGGCGACGGCGGCATGGACGTCATGGGATGAGTCGTCTGTGTGAGATCATGAATAGTCTCCCGTTCGGACATTCGGTGTTCAGGCTCAAATGGCTGTTCTTGCTCATGGTCGTTGAAGTGCTCGGGCATCGTAGGACCTACCATCGGGCCGTCCTCGTCAATGTCTTTGCCAGCCGCTCCATCGCCGTTTACCGCTGCATCAACCTCTCTTATTTTGGTTGTTCCGTTAGCTGCAAGCTTTCGATCTTGAGCAGCATTATTCGAAGAAGCTGCCGAGGGCCCGGCTCCTCTGGTGGTTGGTTCATCCTCGCTGTCACTACTTCCATAACCAACAAGACCAAGGGTGCCCATTCTGTGCCCAAGAAGAATGGCACGCTAATGCCCCAGGTGAGATCGGGGTGAATTGTGATTCAAGTTAGAGAAAACAAGGTGGGTACCTGTGGCGCCCCGGAGTGTGGCTGGGCACCAGGCACTAGCCACAGCCGCGCGCCATTCATCTAGGCTGAGCAGTTGCGTACTTTCATCGAGACATTCAATACCCCAAGCTCATCTCTCGTCCACTCCCAATATACCATCCACACAGTCCGACAATGGCTTCCTTAATGAATGCCGGGCCTATCGCGTCTGATCAGCCGGGCTACTCGTTCTCCAATGCACCTGCTGGATCACTCCAAGCGGCAGGAACCAGACAACATGCCTTCTATCCGTGAGTGCTCACCCACGCCAGCCTGAAGCTCAGGGACTGATCGGCACAGATACACGGACAATGGCGGCTCGACGTTAGGCATCACGGGCGCCGACTTTGCCATCCTAGCAGGTGACACGCGTTCCACGTCGGGCTACAACATCAACTCCCGTTTCGTGCCCAAACTGTTCCGCATCGGCGAAGATTCCTCAGACGAACAGTCATCCCGTATCGTGCTCGCAGTGGTGGGCTTCGCAGCCGACGGCAATGCGCTGAAGGAACGGCTCGACGCGATCGTCAAAATGTACAAATACCAACACGGCAAGCCCATGAGCGTGAAAGCATGCGCACAGCGACTGTCGACAATCCTGTACCAGAAGAGATTCTTCCCTTACTACGTGCACGCAATTCTCGGCGGGTTGGACGAGGAAGGAAAAGGAGCACTCTACTCATACGACCCGGTGGGAAGCTATGAGCGAGAACAATGTCGAGCAGCGGGTGCAGCGGCGAGCCTGATCATGCCTTTCTTGGACAACCAGGTCAACTACAAGAATCAGTACATTCCGGCGTCGGGCAAGGGACATGATTTGCAGCAGCGGCAGATCGAGCAGTTGCCGAAGGAAGTGGTTGTCGGATTGGTCAAGGATGCCTTCACGAGTGCCACGGAGCGGCATATTGAGGTGGGTGATGGGTTACAGATGCTGGTGATCACAAAGGATGGAATCGAGGAGTCGTTCACGCCCCTCAAGAGAGACTAGACCCACCATCAGTACTGTATGCATAGCTCGGCGAAACAGGATCAGGCTCAGAGGCGTCTGAAGGACAGGCAGGTGGTCTATCTCAGCCCATCGAATAAACCGGTCTATCTCATTTCTTCCGATTCTCAGCATTCAATCGCAGATGGCCTTCCACCCAACGCCCAGCGCATGTTTGTTCCGCAGACCCTTCCCGCGCCCTGATGCTTATTCATGTGATCATATCCGGTCGTGAAATCTTCTGGGACTCAGCGCCGATACCTAGAACCTCTCCTTCATTCGACTCGCCACCGTCCTCAAATTCCCATAAACCTTGCCCGGCGGCGCGCCAAGTATCAGACTCACGACCGCCTCCCTCGCAATTCTGATATTCTGGAACCCACCCAGAATATGGATCTTGGAGTCGGCCAATACCACCCTCGTCTTACTGGTATTCTCGATCGCAAACTTCGTCTTCCCATCCTTGCCTGCTATGCGCCCAATGGCCCGGCCCAAGTGCTCGCCCTGCAGGGTCTTGACGTCTTTGATCTCAAACGTTTCGATGTACAGATCGTCGAGCCGGAGCAGCGCAATGGCGTCGTCAACGTCAAATCCCAAGGTAAAGGCCTTGACAAAGTCCTCGCCCTTCTGCAGTGCGCCGGCGTCGGTGGTAAACTTCGAGGTGCGCAGCTCCACAGCCTTGGACTTGATGTTCATACGCACCTGGAGTTTGAGGTGCTCGACTAGAGGCGGGTAGATCTTGGGCCACGAGGTCTTGAGCGGCGACATGCGGTGCGGTGGGATGGGAACCTTGCGGGACTGGATCCGGATTGCTGGGTCTGAGACGGACGATGAGGAGGTGGTGGCGGGGAGGAAGCGTGGGCGGCCTTCTTCGTCTACTTCCATGACCGAGTCTGGTTCCGACAGTTTCTGTGAAGGCGAGGACTGTAGCTGGGGCTCTGTTATTATGTCGAGGTCTTGTTCTTCATCGTGTGTGGTCGTGGGTAGTGGGATGTCGTGTGGTTCCGAGTCTGCAATGGTGGCGGGAGCGCGCTGCAGGGCTGTTGGAGCAGGCATCCTGTCTCTCCGTGTCTGTAGTAGTTTAATAACTCGACTCTAATACCTGCTGGTTGTGGCTGGCGGCCAGGTTCTTGTCGTCGAGAAATTTCTCCGCAGTGTGGAAAAATGGATGTGGCCTGCGTCGACTGCCTGGACGCCGCTCTCCGCACCAGCAACTGACAAGCCCGTCGAGGTTTGCAGTTGGTTGCATCATCTTGCACATGCTTTTAGTCTCGTCTACAACATCACTGTCACAGTGGCGCCCATAATCCTCTAAGCAACATGCCGTATCAATCATGACAGAAGCCTTGTTTCGGGGCATATGCGATGTCTCGAGAATCGCCGCCATCGCGCCACGGGCGACACGAGTGGTCCAACGCCATCCACCCTGCCTCGACCGAAGCTTCAAATACCATGTTCCCAGACGGATATCGACCACCAATGCTCCCGACAACACCTTGGGCCGCCTAGGGCAGTCTGTGTGGCCTTACTCGCGGCCGCGGGCTTCTCAGGAGCAGAGCTGCCACCCGCGGGTCTCCCAACCACAATCGAGATTGACGCCCCCTCGGCCGAATTTTCTTCCTGCGCGAAATACATACACCTGCAATCCTGGGACGTTAGGGCTTCGGAGGCACCATGGAGAGCTTGAAAGTCGTCTACGAGGCCGGTCTGGTTCTATACAACATCGAGATCTCCATACCACTCGAGTTCTCCGAGATAAATCAGACAAGGAAAGAGATGGACACTACAGACACGACGGTGCAGAGAATGCATCGAAACCGGCAGCGGCAGACACGGCTTCTAAAGCTGGTCCAGGGCACCACCAAGCACATCCAGGCAGCTTCTACGATAGACTACACATGCCGCAATTCCACCGCCCAACAAAGCAAGAACTTCTGGCAGCAGCGACGGGTTTCTGGTCCAGACTCAAGGTGCACTTTAAATGGTTCACCATCAAGAGCAGCCGGCCGTTCAACATGGACGAGATTGTCGGCTTTATCTCTTGGATCGCTTTGGGTCACGTCATCTGGTTCGTCATTGGTACAACCACCTTCGTCTCGCTGGCCATTCTTGCCATCAATACCGTCTTCGCGCAGGAGACCCTAGCCGGCTGGATTGGGAACTACTTGACCAAATCCTCGGGCCTGCACGTCGTCTTCGAGTCCGCCATAGTACCCAAATGGGGCGACGGCGTCATTACGTTCAAGAACGTCTTTGTCTCCCGCCGACCAGGTCGCACCAAGTCAAACGTGTCCAAGGGTTCGCCAGAAGCAGCGGCCCAGGCATCATCGACCGAAGACCCCGTTCCCCCAGAGGAACAGAATTACACCCAATTTGACATCACCATTGGGGAGATCAATGTGACCTTGTCTTTCAACAAATGGTGGAACTCGAAAGGTCCCTTGCAGAACGTCGAGGTCAAGCATGTGCGAGGTGTCGTCGACAGGACCCATGTCTTTGCGACGGGTGAGCAGGTCGATCCGAAGTCCTACCGACATGAACACAACCCCGGAGACTTTGAAATTGAGTCCTTCAAGATTGAGGATCTCCTTTTGACTGTACTTCAACCTGAGGGTTTCAGGCCCTTCCCCATCAGCATCTACACCGCAGACTTGCCTCGGTTGCGGAAACAGTGGCTCTTCTACGACTTCCTCTCTGCCAACAGCATTACCGGAGAGTTCGACAAGTCTCTCTTCACCATCCATCCTCGCCAGACGCATTCCTATACTGGCGTTCAACTCAACGACCCGGAAAACCCCTCCAATGAGCCTTGGAAGAAGCAGTCTCGCATTCGCATAGATGGGATCAACATCGATCACATCAATCGCGGCGCAGCTGGACCTTTGTCCTGGATCCACGAAGGCAATGTCGATATTGTGGCCGACATTATGATCCCCAACGATGGCGACGACTCGGTCATCAAAGTCATGACTGACTTCTACGAGCGCATGGAAGCCACGCTTACTTCTAAGAAACATCTCGAGCAACAGCATCTGGATGAATATGTCTCCGGAGATGAACCCGTTGCCGTGGGTGGGGTCGTCGTACCTTCGCCAGGTGCTCAAGCAGTGAGGGACGAGGACAAGCGCTTTCTCGTCATGGATCTGCGAATCCACCTGAATGACGTTCGAGCTGTGGTGCCACTATTCACGCGTGACCTCTCATACATCAACAACGCACTAATCCGGCCCATTGTGGCCTATATCAACTCGCGGCGCACGTTCATTCCTATCAACTGCAGGGTCGTCAAGAGACTTTCGGATTTCGACGGCAGTTGGACGGTCTTCGACTCCGGCTTGATGGACGACTTGTCGGCCGAGGTGTACGATGCCTTTGCGAGGGATGTCACGGACGAGCAGGCCCGGTTGAGACGGTTCAAAAAGGTCGGACTCTGGAGTTTGCAGCTAGCCGTACAAGCGATCTTCCTGGTAAGTTCGGAGCCCCCATGACCCGCGTCACTCTGCCTTCTCAACTTCTGCTGACAAAACTCAACAGGGCATGGCGGGGAACATTGCTTAATCTTGAGACGACCCTGACGACACTTCCACTCCCTATTGCGTGGTTTGAAATACATTCTGTGTACAAAAGTAATGACTGCACTAGGAGCTGGAGAAGCGGGTTCCCTGGGTGGTGCTAATCGTCGGCATCGGCGTCTGGTGACAGGTAGCAGTGTACATAGGAAAAGGCACTTGATTTCACTTGCGGCACGCTGGACGGTACTCAAGTCATGGCCTCCAACTCTCAACTCGTAGCTGTAAATCAGCCCTATTCGAAGAATTTGAGACTCATGGAGATCTCATGAAACACACACTCAAACTGTCGTTCCGATTGTGGCGCGTCTCGACTGCCTGAGATGACACTTACACCGCCTTGGCATCGCAGCCTCATGTTGACTAAGCTCTATCAGAACAAGAGGTATCACATGGTTGAGATTAAGAATGCTACTCGTACCGGAAGGCTGGTTATCGAAGTCCGTCACGTGTCAGCTCAGTCGTAGTCACGTGACACCACGTGACTTGAAGAGGTGGCTGATTCCTGGCGTGTGATTTTCGCTCCAATGGTCCAGACCTCGACTTCTAATGCTCGCCACGGTCCTCCTCCTACATCCAGCAGCTTCTTCTTGCTCCAGCTCAGTTGACTCTCTCACAAGCCGTCTTATGGCATTGGTTCGATGACGAAAAGCATCACTATCCGGAGATGTTTGACCGATCCGTGGTAAGAAAGCGCGAAGCAGGGCAGCTGGCCCCCGTCACGTTCTATGTATACTGAGTTCAGAATCTCAAGCTGTGTGTTTCAAGCTTCTTCCTGAACCACAATCTAGAATTTCGTTCTTCATATTCACGTCTGACACGCCGGTCGCTCCACTTGTCGCCTCCCTTGTCTTTGCAGTTCTGTCTGGCGTCCAGCGCTCATATGTGAGCCCGCTACACCACCATACAATTCTGAGAGATTGACCACAAACCACCTATTTTTTTGGCATGTCTGAAGCACCAACAGAGATGTGCTCCAAAAGAACATATGAGGTGAGCAACTGCCGCCTGGTCATCTCGTAAACTTAACTCACAGAGAGTAGAACGCACTGAAGCTCCTCAAGACGAGGAGGAGAAATGGAAGGCCCGGACATGTCATCAACGCCGTTCCCAGTCTTCAGGCCACAGCTAATGCATTTACCGAAGCCCGTTCTTCTTACAGAGGGGCACCAAGCATAACAGGCATGAGGGACTGGCTGCAAAAGATAGGCTACACGGTACGTCGCCAAAGATGCTGTCCAACGATGATGGTACTAATGTGTTGGAATCAAAGGACATCGACCTAGCCGCCTTGAACATTATACACGTTGCTGGGACAAAAGGCAAAGGCAGCACTTGTGCTTTTGCTCGATCTCTCTTACAGGAACGGGGCAAACGCACAGGGTTCCCGAACAAAATTGGTCTCTACACTTCACCTGATCTTAGATGCGTCCGAGAGCGCATTCAAATCAACGGGCAGCCTATCTCCGAGGATCTGTTTACCCGATACTTTTTCGAAATCTGGGAACGGTTGTTCTCACAGCAGGATAGAGTCACAACGGATGCCTCAAAACAGCCCCGGTTTCTGCAGTTCATGGCATTGCTAGCCATCCACACCTTTTGTCGAGAAGGGACCCAAGCAAACATCTTCGAGACTCACCATGGTGGCGAATACGACGCTACGAACGTCATTGCTGCACCAGTAGTGACTGGAATCACCTCCATCGGTCTCGACCATCTCGCACAACTGGGCCCCGAGATCGAAGATGTGGCTTGGCACAAGGCGGGTATCTTCAAGAATGGAGCTCCTGCGTTCTCTGCGTCACAAACACCGGCCGTCGAAGCTGTGTTGCGAGCTCGGGCAAGTCAAAAGAGCATCCAGTTTGAGATCGTCCCAGTCGACCCTTCTCTGCCTCGCCATGCAAACGCGTTGCGCCCACATGTGCAACGAATCAATTGTTCCTTGGCTATTGCGCTCGTTAAAACATTTCTCTCCGCAAAGAGCCCCGTTGACAAAGGCCAGCTAAGCGAGCAAGATATCGAACGAGGTATCGAGAACTTCTCATGGCCTGGCAGATTCGAGATTATGAAGACCCCGCGATGTACTTGGTTTCTCGATGGGGCTCACAACGAATTAAGCATAGGACAGGCGGTTGAGTGGTTCGCTGAGATGACTTCGAGTCCTTTTGACCGCGAGGGGACCCCCCAAGGATCTCCGCGTTTGGTTATCTTCTCACATGTTTCGGAAGAGCGAGACGGGCTGTCACTATTGAGAGCGTTGGGGGCGGCACTCGAGCGGAATGCCATACGATGTCCCGAAATGGTGTTCACAACATACCAAGAACGACGTGACGGAAAAGTTCGATTTGGTAGGCAACTTATCGACCTTTAGTGCTTGGTACCTACTGACAGGGTACAGACAAGACATTGAAGGCTCCAGACTCCTCACTTGCAGACCTCCCAAAACAATACCCTGGCTTATGGGAGTCAATCCAGCCCGCTGCAACCTCCAGGTACGTCCCTTCAATTGAAGAGGCGTTGGAGTATGCAGACAAAGCCAGCCATAAGCATGGGAACTTGCAAGTCTTGGTGACTGGGAGCTTGCACCTGGTGGGTGGCGCACTTTACATGCTACAGCAGCGAAAATCTGACGCTACTGATGCCTGATGCCATACGAGTCCCGGTAGAGTCGTACTTCTACATATGGGAATGATGAATGCTGACCAAGTCTCAGGTATTCAAAAGTGCTTTGCGAGGATCCTCCCACGAAGTCCACTCGGAAATCTAGTAGCCCACGTTCGTCATCATGGCCTTCAGCCCAGGCATCTTACATCACAGCTCGAACGTGTGGCCTTCGAGCGGTCATTGCGAGTGCGTGTGTCAAAACGCGCAGAAGCGACCATGACATCCGAGAGGGCAGTCATGCTCGCAGGCAATCCCGTTGCAATCCTCGCGGCCACTCTTGTCACAGAGACATGTCTCGCCCTGAACGACAGCATCTATCACAGTTGGGGTCCAGTCGGCAATGCAGGCGGCTTGTTCGCAAGCCTCGTGGCAAGGGTAGTCAGACACGCATGCCCACAAGGACCGATAGCAACGATCACATTACCGAGTACGTGTTGGCTTTGGTCTCCGAATGAACTGTGTTCGCTCGTGACAGCTTTCAGCCGGCGGCTTTAAGAAACAAACATGGGCCACCTCACCTCTGTCTTTGTTCCCCGGGACTAATACACTGAGCAGGAGCGGCCTCGATATGGATAACGAGAGGAGGCATTTGAGGATATACATCTTTCGACGCGGACGGACAGGACAAGGGAAGTCCCACGAAGTGTTAAGAGAGGAAGTGCGACCTAATCACGAGGACCGGGACCATACAGCTTGTGAACATGCCTGTCCCTTCGCCTGGCTAGAGTCATATACCTCGCCCCAGTGCTCGACCGCGACGCCGCAACTCATGCATGCCGATCGCGAACTGAACATACAGCGACCCTTTGGCAGGGCCAGTACTCAAAGCTTATCGACCTTCAACGTGACGAGACGCGGATCCCAGAGTGGCTTAAGCTGCAAGAGCTGAATCTCGCTGCATTGCCTGTCACAACGTGCAGAATGCAGAATGAAGCTTGGCTTGCGTTACATGCGCTGAGCTTCGCCGCTCTTTGTCGGAAGAAATGCCCAGGGGAGCACTAACAACTCCCCTTACCGATATTCGATATCACGGGCAAAAAATGCAAAGGTGACCAAGTGACGAACGAGGCTTCAACGATTTAAAGCCGAAATGAGAATCGGCCGGCCGAAAACAGCATCCCGCGACCCTGTGGTGATCATGCCTCAACGGCGGCAGAAGTCGAGATTCTCTTCGCTAAACATGTAATTAAAGCTCTTCGAAGCTGCGATGCTTACAGCCCCTACTGGTTTCGTCACCTCCTCGAGTCTCGCAAACATCCTTCACCATGGGAAGACGCGAAACCACTCGGTTATCCTCTTCTCCACGGCGTCCTGAGTCATAGCTGAGACCGGGGGTCTACACGTTACGCCCAAGTCTCACGATCGAATAGTGTACGTACGCATTCTGAGTCGCTGAGCCAGCCTGAATCTATAAATTGAGCACGTCGGTCAACTACGGTTGTGTAGTCATACCTCGAGACCAAGTACGGAGGTTTGGAATAGGCTTCAAACCCCATATCGCAGTATCAGAGATTTACCTTCCTTGCCGGCTAGATCTTCCTGTACAGATCAGAAATTCGAGACAATGCATCAATTGCAATGGAGCATTGAAGCAGCCGACATCACCTGGCGGAACCTTCCAAATGCACGGAAGTTCAGCAAAAATCCATCCTTATCATTGGGACGGAGCTGAAGGACATCAAGACTGTTGTTGCCCTGCACAAATCCTGTGCGCTCTTGATCCATGCCTCTCTCCTGCTTTTGCTTCTGCGTCCCTGCAGCTCAAGCCCAAAGACGGAAGACAAGTCGCGCAGCAAGCCCAGATGAACGTCCGTCTGCTCTGGAGAGTCAGCTTCGCCGAGACAGCATAACTGCCCAGTTTGATCCGCCTGCATCTGCTCCCTTACATCAGCATGTCTAGCCTGTAGTTTTCTCCTTCTCCTCTTTCCTTTTGCGACCCTTCTTCCCTTTCGGTGTGTTCTTGGCCGCCAATCCGTGGATGAGCTCTTCCTTCTAGGCCAGCTGTGTCTGCGTCTCGGCGACTTTCTTCTGCAATCTCGTTGATACATCCCAGTTAAAGTGTGGGTGGTTCACCATCACGTGCTGGAACACCGGGTCAAGCTGGTAGGTGTCAAATCCACTGGCCGCTTTGTCGGCGAGGATGTTCCACACGTCCTCATCGGTCGTCGGGGAGAGCGAGACTGGCTCTTCCGAGACCGATCTCAGGGGCGAACCTACAGTGGACGGCCTGGTGTCCGTGAAGTGCTGATCATCTGTCACAGCATCGCAGTTTGTACGATCGCCTTCATGACCACCGGCGTCATTCTTCGCGCTTTTCTCAACTCCACAACCGTGTCTGACACCGAACAACTCGCCGAGCAAAGGCATGAAACACGTCTTCTCAAAGTCGAGGTCCGTAAGGATGACGTCAATCTCCATGGCCGCCTTCTCCTTCAGCTCGTCGATCCCGTACCTGCTCGCGAGGAGGTACATGGCCGCATGCAACGTGTCGGGCACCCATTCCTTCTCCGCCGGCATGAAGAGCTCGTCCACCGGACTCGACAACCCGGACGGTCCATCTGCGCATGGCTCTCGGACGAGACCGTGCTTCATCAGTTCGTCGATGTCCATGGCTGGCATGAGTTCGTCGTTCTGGACCGCCTCCTCGGTGAGGTCGCCGTACCCGTTCGTGTAGACCCAGAGGATGAGATGGGCGATGACGACGGGTGATTCGGTCGTGGTCCATTCTTGGCTGGCTCCTTCCTACAAAACACATTATTAGAGGATGAAACGTTATCAATTAAAAAAATCAGCATCCTAGTGCCATGATTGGGGTTTCGAGCTGGAGTCTTCTCTCTCAGGGAACAGAACCCCATCCTCTCTCTCACCGGCCGAGCCAAGAACCCCGACGAACCTGAAAGATAGCCTTGAAGGCCTTGGAAAGCCCGGCGAAGAGATGACTGTGGACTTTCCAGCTGTAGTCGCCGCAGAAGATGGTAAAGTCAGGGATCTGCTGCTTCCTGAGCGTTATTTTGAAGCTGCACCGTGTGAGGTTAGTAAATGTTCTTCTTCGGGGCAAAAAGAGCAAACAAAGAGCAAGGAGCACTGCGTTCGGGTGACGGACGTTTCGATCTCGCTTGTGGTTGCTGGTAGCGACATTGTGATTATATGGATTCTGAAGTGAAGGTCCAGAACGGCACGCTGGCGTGGAGGTCTAGAGATATTCGAATATCAGTAGCCGGTGAGCTGAATTGAAGGTCGAAAATTAGGATGCTTGACCTCAGAGTCCAGGTCCTTTCTCGACATGAAAGAGTGGTGAAGAACGTGCGAGTTGCGTGATGGCGTGCTGAGAAGCAACGGAAAGGCAGAAAGCGATGCTCAAAAGGTGGAAGGAACAACGTGAGACGAGGGTAAGTCTTGAGAGTATAGATCAATGACTTGGCGTTACTGGGTGACAAAGAGGTGATGAAGGAAGTTTCGGGATACTAGAAGTGATAACTCGAGTAGAGTTAATATAAGTGTTCAACACATTTGAACTGTCAGTGGTATCAAGTGGAAAACGAGGCGAAAGTGAGGGTGGGCACGCATTAGATGGTACGAGACCAGACAACCCCGGTGCCTAGTTGACATACTGACCCAAGTGCGAACAGGTGAACATGCGAATATCAATTCATCCGGCTCAGAAGAAGAAGGTCGAGGTTGAGAGAGGCTGGCACGGACAACACTCAACAGAAAGTGAAGAGGTGCGAGTGACCGATTCGGTTTCGACTTGCGTGCTGGCGCAGCGCATGGAAGACAGCGAAAGGAGGACATTCAGGCATTGGCCAGGTTACTGAATAAATGAGCAGTCAATCACTGGTGCTTGCAACATGTTGTCCTCGATGACCAACACATGCAACCTGATGGGCAAGTCACTCTTGTACCGACGAAATCAAGAACGAAATTGAAACATCTAACACCATGTCCGCACACCTCTAGTCTGCCATTCCTCGATCTCAAAGATAGACAGGTCTGAAATAGGTATGGCATGGATAGATCGTAGCCTTCACGGGACGAGCATCAACCGAAGCTGAGCTTGCAGCAGATGACTACAACCTGATCCTTTGATCTCGCGCGTCGGATTGCTCCTTGGCATCCCTGACTTGTGATCTCCGACCATGGAAAGTAATTGCGGCCGCAGACGTATTTGCTCTGTTCTGAGTCGCGCTGTTTGCAGAAGTGCCCGCCAAGTGAATCCAGCCAGAGGATATTAAACACATATATTTGGGTATCTTTGGAAGAGTGGAATAAATATACAATGTCGATGGCACTTACTGGTGATGATGTCTAGCTCTCTGCTGACATCTTGAGACTCTTCAGTTGCCACTGCTCTCGGTCCTGCTCGACCCAGTCCTTCTTTTCTCCCAGCACGCACACCGATTTCAGATCAGACGGAAGGTCGACGAGATATTTTTGAGCGACTCTCTGGACGTCGTCTTTCGTCACTCCGAGTAAACGCTCCCTCATTTGCTGGTCCATATCCTCTGTGATGCTATACATGAACTCTTTGCTCGCTTCACTGCTGACGCTCCGTGGAGCATCAATGCCCTGGAAGATGCTGAGCTTGCTTTCTTCGAGTTCTCGAGCGCTCCAGTCCTTGTCCCGAGCATAGACTCCGGCGCGGTTGAAGACACTCAGGGAGTTCCGAGGGTTAGGATCTCGGTATGAAGACATGGTGAACAGGCCACTAATGGGACTGGCGCTAGCTGAAGCACCATAAGCGCCACCCTTTTCTCTGACTTCGGGATGCAAGAAATTATGAACAAGGAGTTGACCGAGCACGGTGAGCGGTGCTTTATCTGGTGAGCTGTACGGCGCGGTTTGCAAGCAGGTCCCAGTGTAAGACACCTGGAAAGGCAGGTTGAAGAATGCTCGCCTCGAAAGCGACGAACCTGCGACACCATCCGAAGTTGTGGAATTTGCGACCGATGACTTCTCTTGTGGCAACTGCGCTAGAAAGCCCTCGATGAGGCTCTGGTTCGTCTTGACCGAGTTCGGCTCGCAGACGACGCGCATCGACAGATTCGAAGAGTTGGCCACTGCGATTGACTGGATAGTCTTTAGCTTCTGGATGACCTGCTCGAGGCTGTGAGGGTCACGCCTAGCTGCATCCAGTATCTTCGCTGTGGACTCAATTTGGGATAGTCCGGAGAGCTGATCTTGTAGTCTTCCTCTTTGTGTCAAGGCGGCTGAGGCACTTGTGATGGCAAAGTGATGCCCACTCTCTGCAACAGTGTCCAGAGCGCCAGAAGCTCTGGCTTCCAGCAGCTCACGAATTGCAGCAACCGCCTTGGGACTGGAGAAATCAATCTCCACGAGGAGGGTCCGCATAAGGTCGAACATAGCAGGGACGTTCCTGTCTAGAGCATAGCCATCAACAAGGAGGCCTTCATGATACTTGTCCAAGCTCCAAGGCTCCGGCGCAACAAAGGACGAGACGGAGATGCCACCAGTCCTCAGCAGTATCTCGGCTTCGAGGTCTCCCACTGACTTTGTTTTAGTGCCCAGTCGCATGAGTGAGTCGGTGAATAAAGGCATCAAAAGCCTCAATTCCTCCGGCAAGTCCGTAAGCAAATGTTTGGCTTGGAAGTATGTAATGCCGTTCGTCTCCGTCTCTCGCCACAAGACGTCCACATCGCCAATCTTAGAGTGATATCTCGGCTTCCTCTCTTTTTCTCGGGCGATGTCACTGACGCGTAGGGTTGGCAGGGTGTCCAAGTTCTTATGTTGAGCTGATTCTTGCTCTTCAAGAAGCTCAAGTTCTTGTTGGCCAAGTTTGGAAAGAGACGCTTCCGGCGAGCTGGCGGACTTCTTGATGTCCCCAAGAATGTTCTTTCTTCGCACTTCTTCCCGGCTTTCAAGAGCGGCGCCATACGTCTCGTCTGGTTTCATGGTAAACTGCATGCAGTTGTCGTTCATTAGGTATTTCTCGACCAGTCGCTCGAGGTACTTCTCTTCCGTCATCCGCTGCTTGAAGGTGTCGATGATCTGATTCCATGCCAGACCGTCCATGGGATTGACGCCATTGAACCACCCAGCAAGATTTTTTTCTAGGAGACCCATGCCAAAGTTGGCCGTCTTGTGCTTCAAGGTAAGTTCCAGTTGATGCATATAGCCATCGATTTTATGTGGTTGAAAAGCTTCGTGAGCCTTGTCTCGCAATATTGTCTGGACGGTCTCTTTCAAGCCAGCAACGTCTTCAGCCTGCATGCCATCTAGGCCGACTGATAGCACTCCCACTGCTGCTGAACTGTCATAGCCAGAATTTGGACTGAAAGTAGTCCCGAGCCCTGACTCAATCAATCCTTGGTATAGAGGCGAGCCGTAGCCATTCATGAGCAAGGACATCATTATGCTGACAGAGAACGTTTCTACAATGTCTGCTGAAGAACAGCCCATCCAGGTGATAGAAGACTTGAATTGCCGATCAGGAGGCTGCATTGTATCGACAGGGCCCGAAACCTCGAAAGAGAGTGGCCCGTCAGAAAAGCTGATGGGCATCTTGATATCAGAATCCGGGGCAGCCTTCTCAAATTGGGAGATGGCGTCGTTGACATGCTGGAGGTGCTCGGCCAGACTGAGGCTGCCGTAGGAGAACATCTTTGCATTACTGGGATGATAGTGCGTCCGGGAGAAGTCGACCAGTTGTTCATGGGTGAGTTGGGTCATAACTTCGGGATCGCCGCCTGAGTTATGCAGCGAGGGAAAGAGATGTTCTCTGAATCTAATATAGAAGAGGTAGCTCGCATCCGACATCTGGCCCTTCATCTCATTGTAGACGACACCTTTGAACTTCACATTATCTTCTGTTGCCGGCTCTCGAGGATCTTCAGGACCAAGCCGCCATCCTTCCTGCAGGAAGTCCGAGCGCTTCAGGAGCGGGTGCAGGGTCGCATCGAGGTAGACGGAGGACAGATTGCGGAAATCCTGAAGGTTCGTCGTCGCGAAGGGGTACGAAGTGTAGTCGGAGGATGTGAACGCGTTCATGAAGTTTGCCAGAGATCGGGGCATCATCTTGAAGAACGGATCCCGTACAGGGTATTTCTGGCTCCCACATAGCGTGACATGCTCGAGAATGTGTGGCAAGCCTGTCCGATCGGTCGGGTTCGTCTTGAAATTGATGGCAAAGACATTGTTCTTGTCGTCTCGCGCCACGTGCAGATACTCTGCCCCGGTCTTGTCATGCTCCAACCGCAACGCTGTCAAGTGTAGCTCCGGCACATGTTTAATTTGTTTCAGGGTAAAGCCGTGGATGCTCTCTCCAGGATTTGGGTAAGCCTCTAGATCTGTCACCGATGCATATCCCCTTCTAGGTAGATGTGGTCTGGCGCAGCGTCGAATGCCATGCCTGAGCATCTCAGGTTGGCTGTGTTTGCAGACTCAACCTGATACGCGAAACGTCTTGGGTATGCGAGGTGGTTCGGAAATCGGAGGAGAGGTGCTCGGAAGAGGCCAACCTGTTCGTCAGTAGTATACCTTGATGATACGCAATGAAAAAGGGAAATGCTTTAGTCAAGATGAGTTGTAAATGAGAAATCTATGGGTCACGTGCCGGCTCCAGTCCTGACCTGCACAATCGCGTTGGTCAAGCGGTAATAGAAGTCTCGCTTGTGGTTTACTATGTGGTCAGAATACTCATGATCAAACCCTCGTCCAACAAGTGCACCGATTCTAGACTGTGGTTGACCTCGCAGTGTCATCGTCCCTTTTGCTGCACTGCGCATCTGCTCGGCCGTCGTGAAAAGAGGGAAATCCCAGATCTGCGCGGCACATCGTCCGTCCAAGACCCAACTACCTCGATCGACTCTTTCAGGCGTTCTTGACTTGCCAGTCCCTTCCACGTCCCGTCGGTACTCATAGCGCACAAAGGATCGAGAAGATTGCAGAGTCACCAGCTCCTTATCTCTGATATTCACGTGCGCTTGCGGCCAATTGCCATCTATCGCCACGGCGAAGGTCCTTGCGCAGATGGTCACGCCGAAAACCACGACCTCGGGATATAGTTTCGCACAATACCGCTTGGATTTGAAACGTGTGCGAGATTTGAAGGCGTACAAGTTTGGACTCCATTCACATGGCCACCACTGCGCTTAGCCCTAGTTCCCAAACCACCAATGGCG